ATGCTAAACCCAGTGTGATTTTTGACATCTTGAAGCAACACTTTAGTGACCTAATTTACTCAAGCATGCCCCTGGCAGATTTTTATAACACTCTGCCTACGCCAGGTGAAGATGCTATGGAGTATTGGATAAGACTAAACAAAACTGTTGATGTGGCAAATGAATGTTTGGAGAGACAAGGTCGCAGAATCGATGACCCAAGTCATGAAGTCAGTATGATGTTTGTCAAACACTGCCCTGACCAGTCTCTTGCAAATGTTTTTAAGTTCAAATCTGCAGAGAAGTGGACTGCCTGTGAAATCCAAGGGAGGCTGGATGAGCACTTGCAGGAGAGGAAAAGTCGTGCTGCTTCTATCAGACTATCAACATTTGACACAACAGTCCGCAAAGTCCAGTCCCAATCTCATGTGCCCAAGCTTGATGGTGCATCCAATGCTGATGCTCTAAAGGCCCAAACGCAGTCTTTACCATTTTCATCCTCAACTGCAGTTGGTGTTGACGTTGACTGCATGAGAAGTCTGGTGAGTGTGTTGGATCGATTAATTACCCAACAAACACAAATCCCAGCTNTTTTTTGGGGGGCAATTTACAAGCCCGCTGGGTATTTTTGGTACATTTCTTTTGTATTCTTAATATTGTGTGCTGTTCACTGTTACTGTATAGTTTGCCACTGTTTGATTTTGTTTTTTTTACATGCATTTACTTTTCCCTGCTGTGAAAAATGGCAGAGGGCAGAACTTATTTGGTTGAGAGTGAAGACAGTGAGGCTGATTATGTCCCTTTTCAGTTCCAGTCTGGTGTGGGTAGGGGACTTACTAAACAGACCCTAGGTACCAGAACACCTGGACGTAGTGACACTATTTTAGCCAGTCCACAGTTTACCTCCACACGTAATGTTGACCGTGACATACCTACTCAAGCTGGACAGAGCGCTGACTTAAGCTTGCTCATTACACAGTTAGCGGACAAAATTGGTGAATCCATAACTGCCAAGTTACAGTCTGATAGGAGCACACACAGTCTGAACAGTACTACTGACTCAGTTGTACGGACACCTGACATGTCCATACCAAATGTCAGTCTTGTTATGCATTCTGATGTGAAAGAACCACCCATCTTCAGGGGCGATGGTTCGGACAAGTTTTCTGTTCGTGAATGGGAGAAATTAATGTCACTGTATTTGCAAAAGCGAAAAGTTCCAGTCCAAGAGCAATCACAGGAAATTTTAGCAAAGCTTATGGGCAAAGCAGGAGATGTTGTGAGGATTAAGCTACGTAATGACAGTTCTCTTGACCATGATGCTAAACCCAGTGTGATTTTTGACATCTTGAAGCAACACTTTAGTGACCTAATTTACTCAAGCATGCCCCTGGCAGATTTTTATAACACTCTGCCTACGCC